AAAAATTCGTAGTGACCCTCATGTGTTCGAAAGGCTGTTTTCGGGATGTCGTCCGGCTTCATTCTGATCTGGTGGTAACCTGATTTCAGATCTAACTTCGAAAATATAACTGCCCCATGAAGCTCATCCAGTAACTCATCTATAACCGGGATTGGGAATCTGTCTGGAACTGTAACCTTATTCAACGCCCGATAATCTACGCAAAATCGCCAACTGCCATCTTTTTTCTTTACTAACAGAACAGGACTGGAAAATGGGCTGCTACTCGGTTGAATTATCCCAGCTGCAAGCATCTCCTTCACCAACCTTTCGATCTCATTTTTTTGAAAATGTGGGTAACGATAGGGCCTAACATTCACGGGGGCAGATTCTGCTTGTAGAACAATACTGTGATCTCTGGACCGTGACGGGGGAAGTGTGTTCGGCCACTCAAAGACCACTCGATATTGCTGTAGTAATTCGGTAAAACTGCTGGGACTTTCCCCATCTGATTCTTCTCCTTCCACCCCCAAACTCCCCAGCTCAATTAAGACTCCCTGATCACCCTCCTTAAAAGCCTTAACCATGGCCTTGACTGAACCTTGTGCTTTCTGTAAGCTAACATCCCCCTGTAGGGTGACAACTTGCCCACCCACTTTGATCTTCATTGTCAAATTACCCCAGTCTACTTGCATTTTTCCCACGGTTTCCAGCCATTTCATACCCAAAATTACATCAGTGCATCCCAACTTCAGAGGCAGGAAATCATCAACAACTTCAATGCTTGGCAAGGAAATTACCACACCCTTACAAACCCCACATCCTCTAACGGCTGAACCGGTGCCCATAATAATCCCATACCCATGGGTGGGGACCGTCGGAATCTGCAATTGTGCCGCCAAATCAACAGATATAAAGTTATGAGTAGCTCCACAATCAATGAGAACAATCACTGAGTGCCCACAAATTGTCCCCTTCAACTTCATGGATTTAGGAGCATTCAACCCCACTACTGAATTAATAGATAGTTCCACCACTTCTCCTACCTCTGTTTCGCCTTCGTCCACCTGAACATTCCCCAGCTCTTCCCCTTCTTCTTCTCCTTGTACGACAAGGACGTGCAATTCCTTGTTTCGGCACTTGTGCCCCGGTTGGAACTTCTCATCACAGCGGTAACACAAGCCCCGTTCTCTCTTTAGCTGTAGCTCGACGTCCGAGAGCTTCTTGAAGGACGACGCTGCTTTCCCCACCATCAGATTTCGGGGACTGGAGGGAATCGGTCTCGCGTTGAGCTGAGCTACGTGATTTTGGGAGAGGCTTCCAGAATGGGTTAGATTAGGGGGCTTAGACGGGCCATAATCCGGACTTGGGCTGTAAGAGGTGTTCCTCATTTTACCCGGGCCGTAGGATCCTTGGGCCTGTCTCACCAGTTCATTGCGATCCTCTACGCGCTGGGCCAGCTCCATAATAAGATCCAGCCCACGAGGTTTTAGTAGCCTTACCTCTGCCCGAATTAAAGGCTTCAACCCGTTAATGAAGTTACCTTCCAGAATGTCTTCAGGCACGGTGGTTAACGGAGCTGCTAGGACCTCAAACATCCGCCCGTAATCTCTCACTGTCCCTTCTTGTCTAAGTGCCAGAAATTTTTCCAGGTTCGTACCCTCTTGTGAAGGCCGAAAACGCAACAGCAGGGCAGCCTTCAGATCTTCCCACCTCTGGAAAGTTTGTCGGCCGTCTTCCCATTGGTACCATGCCAACGCCTCCCCTTCAAAACACACGGCCGCCGCTTCGATTTTCTCCCAATTCGAGAAATGGTTTATGCTAAAATACCTTTCCGCCTTGAAGAGCCACCCGTCTGGATTTTCACCGTGGAAGACTGGCATTTCTAACCTCCTGCTACGACCATCCATTCGCCCTTTATCCTCCAGGTCCTTATTGGGCTGATCTGGTTCCTCATAATTTGATGGTGATTCTACAGTTGGTGCGGCCATACTAGAACTGCCGGCCACCCCTTTTCCTTTTCCGTCATGCGCCTGCCCTTCCCACTTACTCAGCAGTAACTCGAACTTTTCCTTTAGCCCTGATATGTCATTTTGAATCTCCCCTTTGATGGTTTCCAGTCCTTCATGCAGTTCTTGCTGCACACCCTCAAACCTCTCCTCTAAGGTGCTCATTCGGTCGTTTAACGTCATCTTCCCAGAATTGAGACGCTCTGATACCAATTTGATAGAACCTCACAAGATGAAAGAACCAAAACACAGAAATTAAGTATATTATTTCAATGGAAATGAAGTTAACAAGCTTCAGGCTATTCGAGAGGCCTGATCTCTCCTAAGTGATCCCACAATCCAGAGTAAAAACGTGCCCCCTCAGGTTCCCTCCCTCCCCCTTCTTATTAACCCCTCTCCTAACAACTTTCTAACTAATTGAACTATACAACAGACTGCCCTCCCTCCTCACGTGGACCTGCAGCTAACCTGGCCTTCCTCCTAGCATACGTGAATTGAATCGGGGGCCTATCACAAAGCTATCAACATAAAATATCAAAATGATTCCAAAGAGGATAGTGCTGGAAAAGGCCCAAGCAGAAAATGGCAACTCTATGTCAGTTGATCCCTGAAGCATCACAAAATAAGCACGACAAAAAAAATAAGCATCAGTAAACACCAGGTGAAGATGGGATGTTTACAAAACAATATAGGGAGAAAACCATAGAGTCAAACTCACAATGATCATGACCCACATTGCCATGGGAAACAGAAAACAAGTTGCAGAAGCGATAGTAATGGCATGAAGTCGCCTTTTAATTTGATTCTGGAATCATAAAATGGTGAGAGGAATATCCAATGTAAATTATTGTTCTTCTTCCTCCTTGTGCGCATGTGAGTATTAGGGGGCAGGGGTGCTGATGTTACTGTGGCTTGATTTCTTTAATCCACCACGAAGCATAAAAAGACAATTCAATACCTTGAGTGATACACGTCGTGTGATCACCCTTCTTAATGCAGATAAGACTCCAGCTAATACGGGAAATAGCATGTTCCTAATTCCCAAACCTTCTTCTGTGTAAACTTCTGTACCTGGATCAACACTAAATGGTAATTTTGCATTAAGGTCACCATCGGCCTAATGAAATAAAAAAGGTAAACTAGAATTCCTACACTCTCTCTCTCAAGTACATGAGATAAGTTTACAATCAATAGTAGGTTAAAGCTGAGAGGATACAAAATGGTGAATGCGTGGCCATGGTCCACCCTTGAGATAAGAAGTAGAATGCTGCTAGCATTGCAGAGAGACCGCCAACCTGATAAAGATTAAGAAACGGGCAGGTGAATTAAGTAAAGGGAAAAGAGACAGCATAATAGCAATATATCATTTAAAGAAAAAACGTAACAACTCAGGGTCCCAGTTGACCATCAGCAGCCAGTGGCTAATCTTACTCCTTAAGAGCTTGCATGTGCTATTTGTTTGTCATTCTGACCACAGTATCAAAATGCCAGAAGTATGTATTTTGAATTGTATTAAAAGGTTCAGAAGAAGGATATTAACGAATTTAATCAAAGTACAACAAAGAACGATTTTACACCTTAGATCAAGTTTTAAAAATCCCGAAGTAACCTGAGAAGAAGTCATAATGGTGCAACATAAAACAAGAAGCAACTTATCTTGCAGATTGTCATGGATTGGACATTTGCTTTTATTTTTCTAGTTGGGCTTGTATAGTGGGCTAGCCCAAGCCCTTTGGGTTGTTTTGTTCTACATATAGCTTGTTTAGAAGACGACGAGGGGGGATTTGATGAATTGAAACTGTGGCTGCTGCCCGCGTCTCTCCTCTTCCTTTTCTCTGTGCTTCCGGTTCTTCTTTCTTCTCTGTTTTCCTGCGTTTATGTCCTCTCTGGTAAGCTTCTTCTGCTTCTTTCTCTTCCTTCCTGTATCTCTTCTCGGTTCTGCTTCTCTTCTTCCCCTGTTGTATGTGTTCTTCTTCTATGTTATTTCGAATCCTCCTTTTCTCTTCTCTTTCTCTAATTCTGTCTTCCAGTTCCTTTGTTTTGTATCTATATTTGTCATTTTATGTAATTTCAGTTTAATTAATTAAATTATAGCAGGGTGTTTGAATCCCAGTTTAGGATATTAAACTGTTTGTGTTGATTTGGATTGAAGTTTAGTTGGTTATTGGTTGAAGTTGAGCTGGTTATTGATTCCTAGCTAATTATATTCAATTGTATGTTGATCTTGAGTGGAGTTTAGCTTGTTTTGGTTGAAATTAGGCTCCAACCATAACACAGATAACTAGATTCACATGTCCTAATGAGCTCGAGTACATTATAAATAGCTGTAAAAGTTCAAATTTATGCAGTACTGCAGATAATACTCCAAGAACAGCACCAGAATATTCAACCAATATGACTCTGAGTTAAATAAGCATAGTTAATTCAGAACTAGAGGAAACACAAAAAACACTTAAGAGATAATCACCCAGTTAATTAACTATCCATGTCTACGTACCGAGCACCTTGGGGTAATATTTGTAAACTATGAATATGTATCTTCGTCTCTCACTTTTAATAGATTTAGCAACTGTGGTGTGTGTGTGTGTGTGGGGGGGGGGGGGGATAAGAGGTCGGCCCGAGCCGAGCAAGCCCGTGTGGGCCCGTGACAATAATGCTCGGCCCGAGAAAATAAAAGAACAAAAAAAAAAAGTTAAAATTTTTTGAACTGCTGCACGGCAGCAAGTTACAGCTGCCGGCTAGGGCAGTTATAGCTGCCTTTTTTTCGTATTGGTACACTTACACTATTTTAATCATATAGATTTTGAAATTCAAATTTGAAAAATAACGCGGATTTTTTTATCTATAAATACGGGATGATTTTTGAAGTTTTAAATCACTTTGCTATCGATTTTAATTCGCATTATTTCTATATTATAGATTCAGATTCAATCATTCAAGTTTCAATTTCTTCTTTCTCACTTCTCATATAACAATTAATATATTCAATTTCTTTCACTCTACAGTCTTATATTCAGTATTTTTTATTATACTAGTTATTATGGATTTTACAAGTGATGAAGTTAATCAGTTTGGCGGTAGCTCGAGTACTCCATCTAACTACGATGCATGTGAAAATGTTCCAATTAATTTGGAGGATATTGAAGAGGAAGAAGTTCAAGTACTCGAGACAAAAAGGTCAACAAAAGAATTATCGGACTGTTGGCAACATATGACACGAAAAAAAATTGGTGTTCAAAATGGAGTAGATATTTGGAAAGCATGTTGCAATTACTGTGGCAAAAAACTTAGTTGGAAGCCTGGCTCGAGCACAACGCATTTGAATAGACACGTATTAAGGAGTTGCAAAGCGAAACCTGCCGATCTCGACTCTAAACAGACCGAACTAGTGTTTGGCGGTTCTAATTCTACTCTTTCCACCTTTGTATATTCACAGAAAAGATTTCGTGAAGGAATGGCTACATACGTGGCTGCAGCAGAGATGCCGCTTACGATGATAGACTCAATACACTTTACTCTACTCGTGCAGAAATATCTCCAACCCAGGTATTCTTCTTATTCTAGAAATACTCTTCGTTCGGATAGCATAAAATTATATAACAGAAGAAAACAAATTACTATTGAAGGTCTAAAAAGTTTTAATAGTGCTATATCGTTTACTTCTGATTTATGGACTGGTTGTAATAGAAAAGGTTATATTGCTACTACGGCTCATTATATTGATCACATGTGGCTTCTACATAAAAGAATTATTGCATTCAGATGTGTAGAATTTTCCCATAATGCCACTAACATATACATGATTTTAAAAGATATCATACAGAAATATGGTTCGAAGTTTTACTTTTGATAATGCTGCAGTGAACAAAGTTGTTATTGAAAGATTTATTGCTGATCTTAACCCCGTATTTGAAAATTTATTTTTCATCAACGTTGTGTATGTCATATTATTAATTTGATTGTAAAAGTTGGATTAGAACATATAAGTTCACCTTTAGATAAAATTAGACAAGCAATAAATTTTATTACTGTGTCACCAGCAAGAAAACAAGCATTTAATAGTTTGTGTGCAGAGTATGGATTACAGGAAAAATCATTTGCCACTAATGTAACACATAGGTGGAACTCTACATATCTTATATTACATTCGTGTGAAAATTACGATAAAGTGATTTCACTATATTATAATGGTAGGCATACACTCGGACCCGAACATAATTTGGAAGATTGGGAATGGACTATTGCATTTTATGTGAAAAAATTCTTACAACCTTTTTTCGATGCTACAAAGGAATGTAGCTGTGTTTATTACCCTACATCTTCTCTTATTTTACAACATTTTTTCTACATTTCACAAGCATTTCATAAATATAGAAATTTGCCACTTTTTGCTGATGTAGTCCGCTCTATGGAGTTAAAATTTTGTAAATATTGGGAAGAGTTGCCTTCTTTATTTCTTTTAGCTTCAGTAATGGACCCTCGACTTAATTTAACTGGCACAAAAATTACTGTAAAGGGGATATCAGATTTTTTGAATATAGAATTATCACACGTGAATATAGAATCTTTTTTATGTGAAATGTATAATTATTATGCTGAAAAGGAAGGTCAGCGTAGTTCTACTTCCCAAAGTTCTTTTTCAAGAAATATTTCAACAAATCCCGAAAATTTATGGAATTATTTAGATAGCAATACAAGTGCTCCTTTATTTAGTTCTAGTTCTAGCTCATCAACATCTAGAGCGATCAATATTGGTGATACAAATCTTGAAATTCCTTCTGAGTTAGCTAGGTATATGTGCGTGGATGTTCGTAGTGTGTTGCAACCGAACGAATTACAAGAATTTAGTCTTTTAAATTGGTGGAGATGTAACGAAAGGCAATATCCAACTGTTTCAAAAATTGCACGTGATCTACTAACACCTCCGGTGTCTACAGTAGCATCAGAAGCTGCATTCAGTTTAGGTGGTCGAATTTTATCAGATGAACGATCAAGACTAAAAGAAGATATATTGGAGGCTTTGATATGTTTGGAGGATTGGGAATGTACAGAATTACGTGTTCAAGAACATGTTGATAGTATAATGGCCGAAGAGTTGCAGCATATCCAAACATAGGATTTTGTAAGTTTTTAAATTAATTATTTTTCTTTAAGAAATGTATTTTTAAAATTTATTTGATTCAAGAAAATTGTACACGAAATATTTTATTCGTGTACAATTTTAACTCCGCCTACGTTGATTGTAGCCGGTCCCACGCCCGAAAAAAGGAGAAGGGTTGTAATTTGTAACTTTTATTTATTTTGTTATTCGTATAAATTACATAATTTTGAAAGTTGTACTTTTATTTAATTTATAATTTGTATAAATAATAAATGATGCAATTTTTAAATTCTTTCAAAAAAAGTCATTACACAATTTCTTTGCTTTCTACTAAACAAATTGCACCACAACAATTAGCATGTGAAAAAAATGTCATTAAAAATTGCAAAAAAAAAAAAATTAAATTAAAAACCCGAGCCGAGCCGGCTCGTAAAAAGTCCGAGCCTTATTTTTTTGGCCGAGCTTTGGCTCGGCTCGGGCCCAAAAAAAGCCCTCTACGATTTACTGGAGCCGAGCCGGCTCATTTACATCCCTACTTTACAGCATCAAATAATCCGAAAACTAAATCTAAGCTGTTCACAAATTTTTTCTGAAAATTGTAAATACTTAACATGTAATCCCAATTATTGACTAGTGTCCCAATTATTGAATCTGGAAACAACATTATTTAGGCAAAAGAATCTACATTTCACTACGAAAACGAGATGTGGGTTTTCAATTTTTCATACATAAGTACAAGTGAAACAGAGAAACTCTTGAATTCGATCAGTCAAGAACGCTGCATAAACAGAATCAGCTAAAAGAACCCATAAAAAACACAATGGTGCACAGTCATAAATGATATGATGAAAAAATTATTATCTATATACAAATACACGAATGGAACTGGAATCACCTGATAGTGGCGGAATGAGAACTCCCCCGACTTTCGGGAAATTGATTTGGGGACATCATTTTGTATCCACTTCAATTTTTCTTTTATACCATTGTACGAACAGTGAAAAACTGAAAGAACTAATTTGATCACTATAAAATTATAGTTTAGTCGAGAATGGTGATTGAAGAAGAAAACAAATGCAAGTCGATGAATTATATCGGAGAAAAAAATTCATTTGCTCGGGGAAGTAGGATTGAAACTCTTCAGGAAGCAGAAGGACGACCGTGTTTTGGGCTCTAATCGGTGGGTTTGGCACGGATGTTTTTAATTGGAGGGGAAATTAGACCCGTTGGCCTTGGAAATGCTAAGTGCACAGCATTTACTGTATCCACACTCCTCACACAAAACGTGGGGGCTCGCGGTTAAAATAATTGTGAGCCCACCCATACATATATGAGAACTGTTAAAAGTATTGTCGAAAGTACCATATTTATAGAAGAGTGTCAATCGCGGGCCTCACCCTTAATGCCACATTAACACAAAAATTTTGATGAATTGTTTAATATAAGAGTGTGTGACATTTTGTGATTGGATGAAAAATATAATTGTGTTTTAAATAGTTCAATGATATAACGTCATGTGATATTATGTCAATCATTATGTCGCTATAGCACGAGTCAAAAAAAATAAAATCTTGATTAATACATTTAAATTGATTCCCGTATTAATGACATTAAAATTGATTTTGTGTTATAAACAAGAGATTGCAAAAGAGAGGCGAATAAACTTGTATGTAATTTTAGGAACGAAAGTTTCATATTTGTGGGAAAGAATTAAAGTTACAAGGGATAGAATAGTCAAATGATTAGAGCCGTAGGATGTAAAAATCATTCATAAATACTACTATATTTACATCCCTTTAAATAACTATTTAAACTATAACCATCACATTGAAATATTATTTGGCAAAAATTTAATAAGACAAAAATGCAGACAAATGAAAAAAGAGTACAAATAATTTTGATTAATAAAATACTGGCTAGTTAAAACATTATCAAGAAAATTCAGTGAGATAAAATTTGATTGAAGGAAAAAAAAAAAGTACAGCTACTCCCATGAATTTTAATTTTTGTACCAAGCGATCCATGTCTTATATGTAATGTCTTCAATATTGATATCTTGTACATCAATATATTCAAGAAAACTCAATGGA